TACTTTGGAACGTTTTATTACATCCGCCACCCTTTTTTTCTAAACAAACACCGCCTCAACGCAAATGGAGAAAGAAAGACAATTTACTGTACGGTTGATAAAAGCTTTTAAAGCGCAGAAACTGCCAACACGATTAAGTGATCGMTAGATCAAGCTGATAATTCATGCACACATATCCGTTTAGCAGTTATTACGAACAAAGCATTSAGCCGACGATGTCTAGGTGTAACTCAAAATAGTTAAGTATATTTCTTTCAGTGTAGCTTGACGCCTCCAGGTTCAATACTTRGCTCGTCTCGATGGAAAGCGCGCCGGTAAATTAACCATACCTATGATAAAAGCCTTTTGAGTGCAGAAATTCCAGGCCCGATCCAATATCGATTGATATAGCTAACGGGTTTAGTCCCTTTTTCGTCGATAATGCTTCGCTTTGRTGAGATAACAAATATTCCTTGAGGTTGCCCTATGTGCGAGAAATACAAACATTTTAGTATATCTAAATTAATTTGGCTTGCAGGCRTTTTGTAAACGCGCGCTCGATTAATACAGAAAATTGATTAAAAACCGCCGCTCGTCAGACGACATAGTAGCGCGGTAGTTTTATGCTGTTTTCCACACCATTCACAACACCTCTGTAAGACGTACACCTCAGTATTATGTATAACTTCATAACCTCTTTATTACGGGCACCTCAATATTACGGACACGTTTGTACTGCCCAACCTTATGTAACGGTCAATATTTAATTAACTTCAATTACAATAATTGCCCCTAGCAAGCTAATCCGGCAATACTAAACATATTTCAATATAAATGTAGTCCCAGCCTCGTCCACAGGCATCACTAAGAGTTACAGACTTCCTGTCTTTTTCCAGGAAGCCAGACTTCCTGTCTTTTTCCAGGAAGCCAGACTTCCTGTCTTTTTCCAGGAAGCCAGACTTCCTGTCTTTTTCCAGGAAGCCAGAAAAGCCACTACAAAGGAATCCCGACGGAGGGAAAAAAAGGGTTGCCTGGGGAGGAAGGAGGCTTCTGTAGTCCAACTTACTAATGGATTGTACTCGAATACAACGAGGTWCGGTTGCTGTTCGGTGGCCACACCAAGAACCTCTAAAACATTTTCATGATTCAACGACCTGAAGAGAAAAGAGAGATATATTGTTAAGACTCCTCATATAAAAATATCAACTTCAAATGTACCTACTTGAACATTGATATCTCGTCTATGAATCTCTTCCGTTGTTGAGACGAAGAATCCTCGCGAAGTTTCTACAGATATGCAAATGAAAATTGACTATTTGTAACAATTGAGATTTCAAAATGGCGTTTTCCTTGCATTTTCCTAATAATCTGCACTGGAATTACTTTTTTGGATGAAAAACTGAAATCCCGACTGGTTTGTTTACAGCGCAAGTGAGAATTCCCAATTATTTATGATTTTATTGCATCGCTTAATGGCTTCCTGTTAAAGCGCCCTACAATTAATGACTTCCTTGAATAAAAGCAATATCGAGCCTTCCCAATTTTTTTAACATTTTACAAGTGTGAATTCAAATTCGGTATTTTTGCACTGRAGTGGTATCCCGTTACAGTAACTGCACTCAAATAGCTTCCTACAGCTGAAATGTTTCTCATTTACACACATTTCAATTCAAGTTACACAGAAAAATCAAATTATGTCATATCAACATCATATGTCAAGATAGCTGTTTTCGGATCGAAGTTAAGCAAACTGCCGCTTTTGAAGACATTTTAAAATGGCTTCCGAGCAGTGACATGGTTTCCTGTACATATCTAGCAGCCGTCATACCTTAATTATAATTTTTGTTTTCCTTAAACCCGGAACAATTCTCGTCGCTTCACCTTTAAAGACCTGGAAAAAAAACTACTATAAGCAAAATAATAAAAATTTATTGTTATGAAAGCAAGGATTTTGGTAACGACTAATTTTAGAATTTGAGACAGAAAAGATGATAGTGATGATCATAACTGGCAACGCGAATTGGACTAAAACGGCGTATAATTCCACAATTTTCAGAAGCTGTTTAATTTGGAAGAAATACAGTCAGGTGACCTGTTAGTGAAAAATGGCCAGGCCAGCTGATGACAATGATAATGATGATGATAGCATTGTTGATGATTAATGGTGACAATCATTACGATGATAACGATAAATGAYCACGAAATTAATGCCGATCGATGAATAATGATATCTAATCATCCTTAAACAGGTGCACTCCCTTACCTTGCCAAACCAACCATTACCAATTTCTGTTCCGTAAGTGATTTTYTCTCTTGGAAACAAGAACTTGTATTGTAACAGATATTGATCTTAAAYAAAAGAGATYAACAATTAAAAATRACCATRTTCKTCAGCAATTKTGCTTCTCACACTCCWCTTAGAKTCAGGAGGTTAAAATCTTTACTTTAGAACTTGGAGAAAAAAAAATACACAAAAGCTAGTCGATCTATTACATACACCTGTACTCGGTTGAATTAAATTAAATGTATTAAACTATGACACTGTGTGCCTTGCTTGCTTCGTAGTAGCCACGGGTATGTATTYTAATTTCACTAGATATTGATCTAAAAAGGTGAGATAAAATTCCATCTTTGCAGTCAACGTTATTGTTTGAATTATCTCTCTATGAAACGAAAATGAAAAACGCATCGTTCGGCGCGAACTMGARGTGCTGAGTGGATTTTAGTYAGACTGAGCGGCTTGAAATTCTTGCAAAATAGATCGTCCTCGCACATATCGACGGACAACATATTTTTATATATTTTGTTACTAATTAGATGGGAAAWAKCCTTYGGTATTTGACTRAGAGTGTACCTTTATCAACAGGGTCTTTGTCTTCGTCCAATGGTCTGTACGCCAATGCTTTTACACTAGAATCAGTGTCGTCTTTAGCATCTACCATAGGGTTGGAAAATCCGATTATAAACTGATCATCTTTTGCCTCGCTGTTTTTCATAGTYGAGTACTGATCTTGATGGTAAAACTACAATAACAAGAGGTCATTTTCAATGAAAATATCCAAAGTTGGAATTCATTGCTAAACGAAAATTTGTGTTTGTTCTCGTGATTTGCGCCACGCGCGAAGTTTCAGCGCGCGGGMACGACGAACGAAACGCTCGCTCTCATTTCGAGAAAGAAGGCATTTGATATCAAGTTGAATTTAAAGCAGTTTGGCGAAAAAAATATTTGTTCAAAACAAAATAAAAAGGCAGCGGATGTTTAAGTTATAAAAATATTGATGCAATTCACTTGAAAGATTTTTTTTTTCTACAACCTAGATTCCACCATGGCACATATGCAGGAGATTTTTCTAGTCTTTAGGAACTATTTGCATAGACAAAAGTAAAATTTGCCATCATTTGCCAGATTGTTTTTGATTTTTTTAAAATAATAAACACACAACAAAATTCTTTTTTTCACCGATAATAACCAATTTTCAGTATCTCTTCATATTCTTGTTTGAGTATATTTATATTTAACCAGTAAACCAAATAATTTTCTCCAACAATAAAGATAATAATTTTATATATACTACATAATTCTTCTTCTTCGGCCAAACCTACCTTGAATTCACGCAAAAAGCAATTCATGGCATAAAAAAGTCAACACATATATGCGGTTTACAATCCAAATAATTTTTTCAATTCAATTGTCGCGAATTAATGTTATATAGTCCAAGTGGCTTCTTCACTTAAGTAAAATGCTAGAGTGAAATTTTGCAAGTCAAATTGTTTCGCCCGTTTAAAACGCCGCAGTCTCACCTATGCTGAAGTCAATGGTAATGGATAAGAGAAGAAGCAACCAAAAATCGGAGTAATTTGCGTTAAGATTGRTAAGAAAGGAACCTAGCACAATCTACTTAGAAAAAAAAACATATTTAAAAAGACATTAAAATAATAGTCTGTGAATTTGCTTCCCCCGCATCGGAAAAACACTTCTTTGGRAAGGCTTTATGACGTGAATTTCTTATTTCTTGCGCGATATCCATGCACTTTTCTCAAAAAATTGTGGGGGTGAAAATGTATTGATTTACTTCATAATTCTAAGACTTGTATAGGGCAATGGAGGTCTTAGAGCTTTAATAATTCTCGAAATCATGATATTGTAATCAATATACAAGATATTTCGCTGAGCTAAAACTTTAAGTGGTTTTGACATTTATACTTCTAAAATAAAAAGTATCCTTTTCTGAATSCTACAAAGCCATTTAAACAGTCTTTATCAGTAAAACTCCTTTTTGTTTCGTCAATTACTGATATGAAAATTGGGAACAACTGGAAACATTTTTCTAATGTCACTTCCTCATTCTTGTCATTCTTTGTTCTTTRGCGTGTGTGTTTAACTTTATAGATTGAGAAATTGATTTTTTTTCTCATTCTGTACATTTTCTTTGTACTACATTCATAATATTTCATGTACAATATAGCGGRGGAGAGGGTGGAGCCAGTTTGATGAGGTTGAAGAGTTGTAATTGGACACTTAAAATAATATGTCACCCCATAATACAGCAACCGGAATCTG